TTTCAACCTCATCCTCCTCCACTAACTCCTTTCCCTGTGCTATTCTTGGAAACAGAAAACGCAAACAATCTTAGAACTTAATTGGCCAGAGGGAATCCAATTACCTGCACAACTAATAATTGCTTCCGGTATACCCACTAGCACTTTTGGTGTTTAACTTTTCCTTTCCATGTATAAGTCAGTGCCACTTACTGCTTACTGCTCAAGATGATGAGACATCCGTTAAATGGGGTAAGATTATTTGAGATAGCAGTAAGTGTCGTGGACCATCTAAATTTTTATTTGAAATGCAAAATATTTTTTAAATTGAATAAACCGTCCCTTTTAAAAAGGTATGAGCAGGAAATCTCACTTGTATTTCAACAAGTATGTTTAATTTTTACAATTAATCAAAAGGAGTCCAGCAAGATACATCTGGGATTTTGAAAGTAATACCTAGGGAACAGGGTAAACTAAATTTGTTAGTTGAATGCAGATTGAAAAGGCAAAGTAACAAATTTCGTAAAAGCTTAATGGAATTTCGAATTTTTCAACATTCACGTTGATGTTGTTTGTTTGTTGTGTAGGTGCCGAAAGTGAATTGGTTGATGATACGAAGACTAAAAAGGAAGTGTCTTAAAATACTTATTAAATTCAAAATGGAGAAAAACAAATTTGGAGGTACAGAGTTTTATATAGATAAACTGAGCTTAAAATTCAGCTAAGTATTTTACATACATATATGTAGGTATACATTCTTATGCGTATTTTTGATTACACTCGTTTGTAAAAATATGACTTTCAGAATTTTACAAAATGTAATCAGAAATGGTAAGAAATTATCACCTTATAAGAAGAGTATCTGCAAAAGAAAAATTGCGAAGTTTCTTCCTTTGAATGCTATTACTAAAGAATAATCGGACGGCGCACTTCTCTTTTCCCCTTGTAAATAAATTGCGCAAAATTAAGCTGCATAATAGAAATATGGGGAACATTACTTGGAGAGTCGTTTGGAATTGCGAGGAATAATCACCTCATTTCCAAAGCAAAAGGAAAGATGTAGTCTCTTCTTTTGTAATCAGTGTGTTTTATTGACTGTAGTTATACCAGAAATACAAAAATATTCATCTTCTAAAAATAGTCTGAGTGTCCTTACTTTTTTACGGTGTAATTTTACGAGCAAAATTTGCAGGATGGGCGAACTTAAGCGTGCACTGCCATTTAAGACAAGGTATAGGCATAATTTCTATTAAGACTATTTAGAGCAGATAATTTGTTCCATATATTTCCTTGCGCCATCATTGTTATCGCTTGCCTATGTAAGGAGCCCTTCCTATGGAAATTGATCAATATGCTTAAGCATTTTTTTTGGTGATGTTCCAAAAAATACCATATTCCTACATCAGTTCCAGGTCTGTATCGAAACTAGCGATAATCATCAAAAATGTTTTTCACTAAATGTTCCATCAAACACTTAAGAGTTGCCAATTTCGTGAATGATGCTTAATTAAAATAGATTATGAAAGAAGAGATATGAGAAATAGTTTTTGCATGACAGTTTGTGCTAAGATTTGCTAAAAGTTTTGGATTATTTGTAAACTCATTTGAGGAGTAAATGACAGATATATCGATCTCGGTAAATAAAGCTTATTTTTAAACGACTGTGTATTTTACGCAGATGACCTGAGGAAATGGCCGATTAAATCAAAAGCCTCCAAGCAGTAGGTCATTTCGACATGTGTTCAGATGCCTAATCGAGAAGGCGATGTTAGTGATGGTGGTGATGGTGCGGAAGACTGCAATCATTTTAGCACATGGAGGATTGGCAGAAGGATGTTAATTGCGTGTCGACTGACCCCCTCCAACTTGACCTTAGTAGTTATGGGGTGAATGTGCTTTGGAGACAAGGGGTCAGTAGAAGTAGGGAGGCCTGGGAAAATAACATTCAGCTGAATTTGATTAATTATTCACACGAAGATGTAAATACCACACGATATACCATGCTAACGGTTTAGTGTTTTAAGAGACGAAGCAGCATATTCAATTAATAAACACCTGAAAATGGCGATTAGACAATCCGCTGTGCTTCACAAAGCTTGTACTGTTGGCTTTGTCTGGTCGCTGACAGCGCGTCTGCTTCACGAGATGGATGTGGACCTTTGCGTGCGTGTGAATGCCACAAAAGTTTACGCAGACAACCATTAAACTTTGCCATACTGTCTCTAAAATTCTCATAGCTTATCATAGAGTACATCATAGATTCCCTATTTATTAAATCCAAAAAGTACACATTCGTAAATTACCATAATAAAAGAATCCCGGTGAACGACCTTAATGTACATTTGTCAATTTCATCGCTTTAAAGACCATTGAATTTAACGTTAGCCTTGTAATCTACTCTATATTTATATTTTTATTGTCTGGTTAAGGTTTTTGCATAAACTAAGGTATTGGTAGTTTTCAAATCGAAAAATTTATGATGGTTACCACTAGGGCGTAAATGGTGAAACTTGAAGTGGTAAAAGCATCTTATGATTTATTGTCGCTTTAAGCAGTTGGTGGTTTGGAAATAAGATGGTAGGCAATCGCATTTGGTCTGGTGAAGAGAGGTGATTGAAAGAAGGGAGATACACTAGACCTGACATTTTGTGGAGTTGTTTGTGACAGAAAGCATCGTATATGTTGGCAGCTCGCGTGAAGGTGAGACCTGTCCATCCTTCATAGTGTTTATACCCTCGTATATGTCAACTATAATTAACTGGCTTATTTTTCCTTCCAACCCACCACCTCCTCCTTTCCTTCCTTTTTTTCTAGAAGGAATTATAATGTGCAAAGTAGGTAGGAATGCGATTTTATTCCTTCTTACAGCCTATACTCAATAATTTAATTCCAAGCAATATTTGAGCAAGATTCCATAGGTTAATGCATGAGTTTTCCTTTTAGCATATAAAGTGGATGAGTTTTAATTATTTATCTTGATATTAGATCATCTCTGGATACAGTTGTCTCGGCTTTTTTAGGAGGAAATCGGTAGTTGTTCTTCTAACCATATACTTAAAATGGGTAAGCAAAAGCTATTGCTCCTGATAGTTTTATTTAAAATTGGACGCGGGTTGAATTTTTATCGTCGAAAAAAACAGGCTTTATTATTTACTGTTTTATTGTTAACTGTTCATTTATCTCTCGATTTTGGTAAAGGGGCCACTCTGGGCCTTCAATCTTGTACCTTCACTGGATGGGCTGGCCTAAGGGCCATGCCAGTAGTCCCGAACCCTACTATCTATCGGCAATACGTATTCTTCTCCAGTACTGTTTCTTCTCTTATCTTCAGGGAAGTTTCGGGGCATAAAAGGTCTAATAAACTGCGTTGCACGAGCAGAAAACTTATTTAATATTTATAAAAAACCATCAAAATTAGCTTATCTTACCCTATTATAGTTTACTGTAGTATACTTTTCTTCAATTTGCAATTGTCAAAAAACCCATTTCCTTCTTTGAATCTTGAGAATCACTTGCTAGTGTTAAAATTTGTTTTGAAGCTCAGTGACTATTTTTAACATAGAGGTATGTTTCGAGAACACATTTATAAAATTAACTACTAGATTTAAAGCTCATTTTGCCTGTCAAATAGATTGAAATGAAATGCATTACAATGCTGTACGAATCAGACTCCTGTTCGGGCCTCTCTGTAATTAAATAGTAAATCTCCGAAAATGATGAATGAAAGTTAAATTGGAAATTCGGTAAAGTTGACTAATACCCTGAGAATTAAGGCTAAATGAGATGAGACAAGCTAATTGTAACAGTGTCTTCACTAGCCTTCTTTACCTAGGTAGTCTTTAGGCTTTTCGGATGTTTGAAATTACCGACAAAGATGGCTCAATAAAACTATGAATAAATTAATAAAAATAATAAAGACATGGGCAAAAAGACTACAAAAAATAGAACAAACTATTTTTGTTTCGTTTGTTGCAAAAAGATGAGGTGATCTAGGTCACTAATAAAGTGAAAAAGACGACGGAAATCAATCTGCACAAGGGAAGTGATGCAGTTGGCAGTCAAATGAAGATGCTACAAGAGGTGATGGCAACTGAAAGCACGCGCATTGCGTGAGAAGGCTGGAGGAAGGGAACGTGTCGGCTTTCTGCAAGAGTGATGAATTGTTACGCTGCCAGACTTTTTCTCATTCTTTCATTCATCCCTCCGTCCTTTCGTTTGTCTGTACACCTCTCCTCTCTCTCTAGCTCTTACTCCTTCGTTTACTCGCTTTCACACTTGGCTGCTATGACAGATGCATTTACGCCTTTTGCCACTCTGTCTTCCTGGAACATCTTCATGTAATTTTTTTAACCTTAGCGCATTTTCACCACGATTTCGCTGGCCTTTGGCCTAGTAATCAGGTGTCATTTTGCGGCAATTGTTCCAACTCTACGTAACCTATCCTTTTAAACCACAATCAATCCTCCTAAAACAAATCTGTGAATTTATATGTCAAGATTAGGTTACATCTCATAGGGTAGAATCTGAAGTAGATCGGAAGACCACTGAGCTAAAGAGCTAGAAATTATTCCCAACTTGTAAATTTTGAAGCAGAACATTTCAAAAGTTTGTCAAAATATAACTAGCATAAGTGAAAAAGTTTTAATATAAGTGCATGCGTAAGTCGCTAAAACTTCAATAATAAAGTAGATCTGGTTAACGCCAATCTTGATGATGAAATTTTCATCAGCTTAAAAATTAAGAAGATATTGCATGTTTTATAAGCGTTCCTAAACGTGTTTGAGTTATTCCAAGTGGTGCTTCTTTTACATTGACATGTTCCCACGACAAGCAGACAATCGTGTTTATGCTTACCCACTGAACAGAAACCATTAACGTGTGAGTTATTAAATGGGAAGTCTAGCATCTGACGGTACAAAACAATGTACCTATTTCTTTATCAATCAGCAACGGATGAATGACAACAAAAAAAGATGTAGGCTGAAAGGTGCTAAATTTAGCAGCTTTTCTTATGTGGTGCGATGCAAATTAATCTTCGACAGGAAACTGAAGAAAAAATGAATCCTTTAAAGGTATGTGGCCTTTCCTTAAGCTGTAATAAAATTTTGCTTTGCAAAAATTTAGTAATATAAACCAGTTTTTATGTTTTGCAGTAACGGATTAATAAAAACATTGGCTTTTGCCATAAACGTGCCAACATATTGATATAGATTCATTAAAAACAATCTCCCGCATCTCGAAAATATTGAATCTAACTCCAATTATCCTTTATTGTATTTTTATTCCGTGTGTCCGAAATTCGCTTCTGTTATTTTAACGAATTTTCAAATATTCGCCGATTTTTATTTCCTGTATTTTCCCATTCCTGAACTGGGTTCGTTAGTATTTTGTTTATCTCTAGGATGATGTTGTCGTATTCCTTAAATTTCTATCGAGGTGTATTTGCAGATTAATCATTTGCATATACAAAAAAATTTAGTGTTTTGCACGTAAAAAGTAGTTACACTGGTAATGTTAAAGAATTCCGGTAATTTCGCATAGTCCGAAATTTAGAATGCTAAACGCATTGGCTTCTGAATGAGATGTCATTCTTACTTTCCATCTCTCAGGATTGACACATAAACAGTGGCTTGAGTAATATCTCAAAAAAATTATCAGCCACAAATAAACTTGACATATCAGCGTTGGCCCTAGGATTAGACATCTTTTCAGCAGCTGGAAGTGCTGAAAAAAGTAGCTTTGACTGCTGATAAGGATTTGGCTAAGCAAATCAACAGTATTCATGGAGTGTTCACTGTACCGATTTGTAAGTCATTAAATTTGCTTTTAATTGAATCCCTTTTCCTGCAGTGATAAAAACCCAGTAAGCGATATGCTCATAAATAATAAATTCTCATGAAACACTAAATGTAGTTAAATAATTACAAGTTGGCCTTAGTAGTAAGCACTGTCTTATCAGTCACAGATAATAGCTGTTTGAAGGAATGCATTTATCATCCTGTATTCTCCTGAACTCCTATAAAAGTAATAAAAATCCTCAGATCAGCATTTTAGCCTATTGGTTTTTCTCTTTTAAATTATTTGAAGGACTAAACTCGGTTTTAGGCCTTTATTTTCCTGTTAGGATAAGAGACATAAAGTAATGAAAACTGGGTATGAGAAAACCGGTTGAAAGCACCTATTTTCCTTTGATTTGAATAGTCTTAATGCTGGAAATTAATAGTGCGTAAAATTAATTCTCGATGTGGCTGAATCAAAGCTTACTTTCTTCTCTACTTGAAATTTAAGCTTACGTTTTGCCCAGTATTTTAATTGATGGATTTTGATTTATCTTGTTTGACTAGAAATACTGATTTGTTAAATCACACTAGGTATTTTTACTTTCAAGAAATAATTTAGTCTACGCCTACAGAAGCCAATCTCTCCATTGCTGTTAGAACTGCAATTCAAGTTGAAGCAGGGCTATACTGCAGACAAATTTACAGATTGCCTTTTTAGTTCAACTCACTTAACATTATAGCTCCTGTCATTCCCCTATTATTTGACACTTCCCAACTTATTTCGCAAAACCTTCCATAATTGTGTCTAACGATTTTCAGAAATATACGTAGTAATGCATTAATAATTAATTTACTTTTAGTTTTGGTTTCGCGGACACTCAAGGCTCCGTCTTTGTGCTTCTGCTGGATGACTTAGCCTCCGGGCGTGCAAATAGCTCTCCAGCCCTTCCATAAGTCGGTAATATATTTCCTGCACTGGTAATGAGTCCCCTTTCCTCTTCAGGGAAAACTCAGAGTGCTACGATATAAAGGATTATGCGATGTATTCTGGTATTTGTTGGATGTGAGTTTTGATTAACTAGGAAAACATAGCATTTGTAAAGTTATTGCAGTGCCCTAAAAGAGCTAAGCTACCTGAAAGGTTATTGTTTTCTAAAATCTCTCACGCAAAAACTGACTATAATCAGAGAGATTTTCTGTCGTAAATGCTGCTCATTTTATGCATATTTGTCTATAATACTAAGTGAATTTAATCGAGCAATTACGCTGGTACATCTACACGGAAAATATTGATGCAATGTAGTCATTACGATACTGTCAGTTTGAAGCCCTTCAGTTATTGTTCTTGCGGTTTTTCTGTCAATGATATTGCTCAATAAAGTGGTAGGTCTGAAACGATTCATACATGATATTCTACAGAGCCAGTAATAAAATTATATGCATGTGGTTTGATTAAGTGGTCTGGCTTTAATGAGAGGTTAAATGCAATGGCTTTTGAAAAAAAAGACCTACCTAATGCCTTTTCCTAACAAATCATAATTTTGTAAATATAAGTTGCAGTTTGACAGCTCAAATAACTACAAACTAAAATACCAAGTATGTGATATCATAATTTACTTCGATGCAAATCTGAATCTTAACATAAAATCCCCTATTCATGTTACCTCGGGTTTTGACAGGTGCTTTCTTTTGATTTATTATCTTAATTGTAAAAGTACCAAAAAATGGTAAAATGAGCGTCTGTTCGGCTTTTATATTTTGAAACAGTAAAAACCTCAAAAGCAGGACAAGAAGTTTTGCCAAATAGGTGGCAGTACCGCTGCGAGACTCTCAAGATATAAAATTTGCTATCGGACCGCGTTAATGGGGTGTTCATAATGACAGCAGGTTTTGAGTTAATTTATTTGGTCAGTTTAGGGAGACTTGTGTGCAACTTTAGGCGTGAGGAATTTCGAATCTCCTGTCCTTAAAGAAGGCGAACACACGTCCGTAGACAGGAAGATTGGCAAGCGGGTGGGCGGCCGGCTGGCCGGCCGGAGGGAAGGGTGTCCCATATCAGAGAAGCTTTCTAGGGGTGTGTTCGGATTCTACACTTCTACCTCTCCCTACAGTCTCTGAACTAGCGCCCGCGACTTGGTTATGTGGACTTTGATACACACTCCCGGTCACTAGGGCATTGGGCAGACTCTCCGTAGCACTGGACGCACACCAATCAGTTTAAAATTACATGGTAATGATTTTAGAAATTGTAGTGCCTAAGATTCCTGGAGTTGAACAACAGATGAAAAAAATTTTATGGTCAGCAATTTGAAGTCAAGACATAATGTAATTTATTTCATAATTTTTGACGGCATGTTTTTAGGCAGTACATTATAACAATAAATAAAAGCAATCAATGAATATTTTTAACATGAAATTCCTTTGGTGTACACCAAACTGTCACCAAAATATTTGGTGCAGCGATTGCAATATCATATCTAGATGTTTTCATTAAAATTCATTTCCTTTAATTAAATGTACCTATTTTAACAACTATGTGACTTTGCATTAACAAACAACTCGAAAAAATGACCGCGACCTGAAAATCCTAAAATTATCCAACCGTAGGCTTTACTTCGGATGTAGAACCAACGCGCCAAATTCTATTCATAGTCCACTATCTCTGTCTCCTGGAAAATATTCAGTGTCACTTTGAATAACTGGTCGGCTGGAAGACATCTGCACAGCATAAAGGAATTCATTTTAAAATTTGTTTATAAAGAGACCTACGGTGGCCTATGGTTTTCTACAAAACGCCGACTAGAGCCTGTCTAAATGCAAATTTGAGGTAATGGGGTCAAATGAGCCATTCTCAATGTAGTATAACTCACTTAAAATGTTTAGTGAGTACAACAAGGAGGAATCTTAGACACCTTTAAAAGTGCCAAATACTGCGGCGACGCTTTCTTATCTTGCTTTAAATACCCCAGTTAATAAATTTAGGGCTTAAAACTTGTCATTACCGCTTTACCTAAGTAAGCACATACTACCACTTTTCAGCCTTAAACAACTAAAGTATTGCTAAGTGAAGCAAATTTTATTTACATTTTATGAACAAAACTTTAGTAGATTTAAAATGGGTCATTTTAAACCATCAACAAAATATCAATTAATCAGCAACCTGTTATATATTCTAAAGTCAAATACTTACACGGTATCCTTTCCTTTAGTGTTCTTCAATGAAGTCAAATCTTCGCCAAGATTATGTTTTAATTTAGGAATGCAAAATGTCATATTTGATAGCGTATTATAAATTGCTCCCTTACAAAAAAGACTAAGAAGTGTTGACAAGTAAAAACAGCATCTGAAGAATAGAGAGTTTCACTCTGTGCTAGGCGCTATGGTGAGGTGAAAATATTGCAAAAATCCACCAATGGAACCCATTTAATTTGCAATTAAATGAGTCTATATTTCCTTTAGTTGTATAAAACTGTCGATCACTTTGTTTATATATAAAACACCTCTAGATTTCAATTATTTATGTACTATACCTACCATTATATTCCATAATGAATTGAAATTAGTTAATTCCGCTACTATGTCATCGTTTCAATAGATTACAGTCATAAGTACTCACAAATTGGGTAAAAACAGTAAAAAAAGATAGATTACTCAGAACAACAATTAATATATTGTACATCTTCTACTAACAAATAAAGAAATTGAGATGGAATTAGACAACCTGGATGAATGTCTTAGTTAGTGACTTAGCCATTGTTTTAATTTTCTGCCTTTACACCTCACCTTGACGAAAATTATGGAGCATTTATCACACACAATAATCTACAAATTAGAGTAACTGATATCCGCGACTTTTTTGCTTTTGCGTCAGCAAAGTAATGCTAATGTGTGTCGCATGATGCTACGGTGCATTTGTAAAAATGATAAATTAACTAATGAAATCAGATTCAACTTAACTATTTCTCACTCTTCACCTATCAACAGCCTGGCTTTTGGGCAGAAGGGTTACCCGATGAACAGACGTCACCGTAACTAGAAGCGTCCCTGTCATTCTCATCAAACCACCTGCCTCCAAAGTCCAAGAAAAACTGTGCAACTCCTACAAAAATTAACACCCCTTTCCTAGGCGTAAGTCACGCCAATTAATTTACAGTTAGTCGGGGGTGGAATGCTTTATCATTTTTTCGTCACTTTCTATAAACGGAATATTTTAGGTATGAAAAGTGGAGTTTACGTACAAGGGACAATATGAGAATTCTGGGTCTTATGAAATTAATAACAGTGTCTCTGCTGTCAATGGTTAATTTAATTTAAATATTCCTAATTTCAGCTGCTTCCTTACAAGACAGTACGCTTTATATGCTAAATACTACGCTCTACTGATAGTGCACACGGTAAAGTGAAGTTCATCAGAAGTGAAATTATGAAGGGTCAAAATACATTCACTTTATTCACAGATGAAATCAAAAGTCATGGACTATAGAAAAAATGATAGAATTACAGTTTACAGGTTTTAGTATCAGCGCCATTATATTCGTTTTCGATCATCTGTACAAAAAGGAAGAGGCGTTTGGAATGCCAGTGATCTTCTCAACTCCATGTTAAGAGTAGCCCATTTCGCTTTAATGAATGAGTGCATGTAATCTCATCAGGTACTTATATTTATTTATAAAAGTACATTATCCATACACGACCGAATTTAGATTCTAAAAAAAACCGGAACCTAGTAGATTGAAAGCAAAGTTGTGGCTATTAAATTAAAAACCACCGTAGGACACTCAAGAGTGTGTTCCCACAATTTTTCAAATCTGGGTTGTGTGAAACTTTAACCTACTAGAGGATTTTCTCCGGTTTTACAAAAGATCGCCTAGCAACTAAGAATAAATCTTTTCAGAGCGAAAACTAACCCAGATTCATAAAAATACTAAAAACTTTTGCACACAGTTGCCGTCTTTACTTCGTTCTTAGCCTAATTGTTACTTAATTAGTACAATAGAAATGGTTTTATACGGTTACATTTCAACAACTGCAGTTGCTCTGAGGTTAAAGAGATCAATATGGGCTTTCGAATCATAATGAGTCAAATTAAGTGTGAATCAGGTAAAAACTAGGCCGTCAATGATTTGGAAGCAAAATTAGGAGGTTATGATAAATCAAGTAGACCTCAATCAAAACCATTTAGTGGCCGTATAGTTATTCGTCGCCCCTGTATCACCGATTTTATCGTTCAGTTTGTGAAACTCCTGTTATTTGCAAATGTCTTTCAGCAGTGCTCAGTTATTAACTAAGAGGTATAAGTGAGCTATTCTTCATGTGGAACGGCAATGGTGAGCTTGGCTAGAGCTAAAATTACTCTTTTTCACCCAATGCACTTCCAGTAATGTTGGTGCTAAGAGTACATGAACATCGGTCGTGTTTACAATTTATTTCCGCCATATTAATCTTTTTCAATCATCCACCGAAAAGGGTGCTAAATTCAGTATTAGTACTTTTAAGTGACCGCATCAGTTGTCTTCTTCGTATCTGGAGAACATATATCAGGCATGCCAGTCTAGTCAGGTTGGTATAAATAGGTTCTTCAAAAAATGACCAAGATTTTTTTGAGATAGTTTTTACTGTTAATTTCATTTAGCAAATTCAAGGAAAATTTTGAAGAAACTAAGAGTTTTTGACCAAAATCTTGGAAGCCAATTTTTGTCAGGTTTCTGTAATTGTCATGTCGAAGTTCTTCTCCTCTCAATTTTACATTTAAATATGGCTTTCAGTTTCCAAAACAGACAACAAATTTCGACACAAACTCACACTAAAATGCCCAAAATTTGCTCTATATCAGAGAGGGGTGAGCTCGCAAAAGCGACATTTTTGACACTTCAACTTTGCATGAATCTTTAAAAAAAGTAAATAGACATGTTTAGCGCCACATGCTTTGTGGATTCTATCAGATAAGCCATTTTGGTTGCTAAAATTTTCTGTCTGAAAATTAATCAGCTCAGGAGGGTGTAGTAATTGGCGTCTGGTGGATTCCATGCTAAAGCAGATTAACATTATGGTAATTCAGAAAAATCTTTTGTTGTTTACCATTATGGCGCAAGACTATCTACTAAAAAATGGAAATCTATTAGAAACCGACTTATCAAACGCATTCTCGAGTTGTAAACATGATATCTGCACCTATTTAGCCAAGCGCAGATGGTGATAAATTCGATCTTCATTCCATCATTTATCATTCACTTTTGAAAATTAAAGAAGTACTTGAATCCAATGTGTATCATAAATGAATTCGCCGTGAAATAGTAGGAATCACCAAGATATTAATAGTTTCGTCAAAGAGCTTATTCATGTCAACTGTTTCAAATTGGGACGCAATTGTTCCCGTCAGGATTGACCCAAATTTTCTTATTCTCTTCTTAACTAGAACTTGTGGTAGCAAGTTAGTTATGGCTGGTACACCATTATCAAAACTGCTGTCCTTTAATCGTTTTGAAATATGCCAAAGCTGCAGATGGCTATGTAACTTCCACATTTGCCAGAATCACGAATTTTTCCCGCACAATGGCGATTAGTCTTATCAGAGGATAGCAAAAAACTGGACACTTTTCAAAAAGACATTCCCCGTATTCACTGCACCAGCACCAACAGTTGCTTTAGTAGACTTTTTCCACTCCATCACATAGGCGTAGAAGTGGAAGTCAACATATACAAATCTTATCTGACTCTCGCCAATACTATGTCAATTTCAACAAACTCCATCAAGTTATTGTACTGATAATATGAGCAACTGAGATGCTACTGAATAGCAATATTTTAAATTCTCTAGTATTTGGGTTTTAATTTTATTAGGAGATGCTGTTTTAAACATTCACCCCAATTTATGGGCAGCAAGAAAGGGGGAAGTCAGATTTCATAGTTAATTGTAAGTGAGGTTACTAAAATATCAAGGTACTAACAAATCAACAGTTCTGCTTTAACACCCTTATAGATTCTAATATGTTTTGCAGCGATATCGAAAGCGCTACCTGCAGTTATCTGTGTAGAATTTCATTTGGCATCGGTATTTAAGCTGATAATTACAATGGACATTATGGAAGACCAAACAAGCATTCAGATCACTATTTCGCATTCTGAACAAAATTTTTAAGTAAAAATCAAACTTTATTAAGTATTACAATTCATAAAAAATTATTCATATATTTTACCAATTTTTTCCGCTCAGCACATTGATATTGACCACCCACAGTTTTGACAAACATCTCGAAATTCTTATTTAGCCTTTCTCTCAGCTATACTATCCATCTTTCCTGAATTCTGGAGTTTTTACATAAACACTCAAATTTATACACACTTGACTCCCAATCCTTAAATTGAAACAACAAGTTAGCGAGAGAAATTGATAAGATTTCTCAGTGTCAATTGATAGTCTAAATGAAGTCAGACACCGTGACCAACAGCGCCAATGGCAGCAAATTTGTATTTTTACCATTGACTCTGTCAATCTCTGCTAGGATGCTTACATCATTATCGACCGCTCTCACCGACGAAATTTCTCA